TCTCGATAGAGTGGGATTACATCTGCCGCCACATAGAGTTTCCCATTGTCTCCTAGGACAGCTTGAAGTCTCCTCAGTCTCATTATGTCACAATAGCAATAGTATGAGCACTCACGGTCCAAGAGAAATAACAGATTGGAATCGTGAGATCGCAATTTGCGCACGAGCTCGATGATAGCGCTCAAGCAATCTGCATTGGGCGTGTAGCCTACCGACTGATATTAGACACGTTTGTAGAGTCTGGGTCTTGAACAATACCTGTGAGCAGCCGAGCAGGATGCAAGAGGCCGTTCATCTCCAGGCCGTTGAAGATTGCCTTGAGCTGTTCTCCAGTCGCCCTCGTTCCTTCACCTGGTTTTCTTCGATATCCTAAAGACTAGTTTCAGTCATGTAACGTATCCAAGTAGACCGAATAGATACCTGAATGATTGGAAAAGCTAATCAAGTAGGTTACACCAGCTTGAGAAAAGATACGAGCCACTCACTTGACCGTATTGACAACATCCACCTCCCATCCTAGTAAATTTAGAGGAAAAGTTGCCGCTCGGCCACCCTGTATCGTAAATCCATTGTTATCAATCAAAGCGTTCTTTTCAGAGGTGATTATCACGAACCACATATCCTGTAAATATCACGGTCAATGTACTGTCACTTTCCTTGACTCTACTATCTCACCATGGGCTACATGGGATTGGATTGAAAGGATTGTCTTTTCCATCTGGCTGAGGCTGGGTGGTAATCGCTGACTCACACACATACACTTCAAGGGAGAATTGAATACGATACAAAAAAACATGAAACAAAAGTCTGACAGGATTATCATACACCTGGCCTATTTATATTGCTTTCTCATCTCTCCTGCAAGTTGGATGAGCAGATTTTCAATCCTCGTCTGCTTCTCTTCCATTGCGACCAGCCTTCTCGACATTTCCGCCATGTCAGCAGGAGATCCTACTTCAAATGTTTGCTCCTCCTCTGCTCGCTCCGGGACGGTCATTGGAGGTTTCGGCATGGCCATATGATCAGCTGGGGGTGGTCCCCCTGGCCTTGCAGGGTGAGGGACATGTTGATGAGGCTCGATCGATGGCCGCCTCGCTCGTGTCAGTGAGGTGATTCGCCGTCTAGGCACGAGGTTTGTGGGTGATCCTAGAGTGCTTAGGGGGAAGCCAATGTCGTCACCACTCTGCTCGTCAGGGAAGATAACCGGATGATATATTTGCGCCAATGGACTTTGCTGAGGTGCTGGTGAAAGTGTGTCTATTGAGAGCAATGCAGATCGCCGACGACTTCGTGAATAATCAGTTCCTGCCTCGGATGCATTGCTCCTGACTTGTATAGGCTGTCCAGGTGCTGACGTAGACAGGAGACCTTGCCCACTAAACGATCGTGCTCTAGGTCGGTCTTGAGATGCAGACTCTTCTGGAGGGGGTTGGACAACAAATTCATCGTTCTGGGAGCTGTCGTCCATTTCCAATGCGCTTTGACCTATTTCATCCGCTATCTGGAAAACTGCATCAATGTCTGGACCATTTCCAGCGAGCCCTTCGAAGAAAGCTAAAGCAAAAATGAGGAAAAGATCCAATTTGTGAATGATTGCACCTACTCATCCTCCTAACCCGACGGGGTAGGCTGTCAAACAGCTTGTCCGCAGCAAGATGAACACGGTCATAAAATGTTGTCCCCGGTAGATTTGCCGTATTCCGCTCATAAAATGTGATGGCTAGGAGCACCGGTGCAGCACAGACTCTTGGAGATCGTAAGCTCATGCCAATCTTACAAAGGAAAATTTACCTAATCATGAAGACGTTCACCTAGGAAGTGTTAGTCAATCTGGTGCAGATCTTTTTTAAGGAAAGCCTACCTTATGGAACCAGCGAGGGTTCAATATATAACTTGCTGGGAACATGATTGCAAAAGCCAAGAGATTCATCGGGGGAAGATATGAGAAAAGCGCATCGGCTTTGACTCTTTAAAGTCGTTGTCAGGACGAGGTGGTGGAGCGTTGAGAGGACGTACCCTTCAATGGTTGCTACTGCCCTTCGGAATTTGACCTGGAACATGCTTCAGTAACGGGAATACATGAAGGACATATATCCTACTTCAGCTTCGGCATCGGCACTCAGCGTGGAGAACGTATGAGATAGAATCTAAGTCGGTCAGTATCCGTATGAGGAGCCATAGGTTATTGACGTACAGAGACAAGAACTTTAGACTTTTCATTAGACAATATCTCAGAACTATCAAAGAGCTACATACCAGTAAGCAAGAGTGTGTTACTGAGGCATGCAAATGTGACCATTAGTACGGGGCCTACTCGAAGGTAAGTTGACGGAGGTTGGGATAACGGGGACTTTACCGAAGATCGGATGAAAAGTAGCTATTACATGATATTAGTATACTGCATAGGGCATCGGAGTGTCAACTGACATGATTTCTCAAACCC